GAGGCAGCTGGTTGATGTTTCTGACTCTCTATCCCTCTCCCTTCCTCTCTGTAAAAAATCAATAATTATAATTATAATTATAATTATATATAATTATAATTATATATATATAAAAGAAGTAGACACATTGTGTTAAGGCTATTGTGTTAGAATGAGCTTGCAGGTTTAGAGAATTCCATTCAGCTTGCCAAGAAATGCATGCACCTGCAACATATTGCAAAGCATTATAGCCTGTCGTAAAGGCTGAAATAGTCACAATGCCCATCATCTCAGTTCCAGGTTTGTTGATTAAAAACAATAAAACATTACAAGAAGTGCAATACTTCTTAAAGACTCTTTTTCCTTCATAAATATCATACTCTTTTGCTCTTCTGTATTACTACATTGCTGGTAAAAACTGGGCACATTTATCAATGTCCTTAAGCCTTGTAATTTATCTACTAGGCAGATTGGAAGGTTTGAAGGAAAACGTGCTGATGGAAGGCAATCTAAATACCTACCTTTGAATTTCTTAGAGATTCCTTTTGTCTTAAGTGGTAAGTTCTGTCCAATACAGTGGCCACTAGCCAATGTATGCCTTATGTCTCATTCCTTCAATTTCTTGATATCTGCATACATTAATCCCAAAACATGATTCATTCCAACATGTTATTAATATATTTAGGTGGATCCTTTCATGTTTTCAGTCTTCCTTGGAAACATCCCTATTCCAGAAGAGAGCAAACACCCCTCCGGGACCATGGAGACATTGCCTGAAGCTATCTACTTTAAACATAGATATTTTTGAAGTTTATTGCTTTATTTTAAGAATTCAAATGACTTTTGCTTTTGAATCCATAGCATGGCTGTGCCAGTTTCAATATATAAATAATACTATAATTTTACCAGCTAAATTATATAATTCACCATCCAAAAATAGTGTCTCCTTCCTGGAGCTTCCTTCATGTTCAAGTTCCCACACGGACCCTAGTTTGAAAAGTGTTGCTTTCACTTAAAAAGAGAGAAAAGCATGAATGATCTACCAAGCAGGACTACATTCCAAAGCCGACTTTTACCAGCAAATCTTCAAGTGAAAATGTAATAGAAAAGTAAAGTGAACAAAAGCAAAAACATTTTTATAAAGCTGGAATGGATGAATGGATCATTTCTTAATGTATTTTTTAATTATCATTCATCTCCTTGTCACCTTCTTTTCCCAGTGCAGTGGTAACACAGAGGAAAAAGCCCTCAAGCTTTCTCTATACATTACTAAAAAGACTCTGGATGCATCTTAGTTCATTCCCTCTGATGTAATTTCTTTAGGTTTCTGTTCCTGAAAAGGTCCATTTCCACCCTTTATTCCTTCCTCCATTAATATCTTCCTCCCTCCCTTCTTTCTCTTTCTCCAGTTCTAAGTTTCATGGAAATCTGTTAATAGCTCTTACCTGCTGATGCCACATCTTTTTCCTATGTGCACAGCCTATGTTTGTTGGCTCATCCCTGTCTTGCTTTTTTCTTGGGACATTTTTGTGTAGAAATGCTGGTTACTTTTTGCGTATTATTCATATTTGCATGCTTGGAACCACTAGTTTGGAATGGCATGGCCCTGACTCTCATGTCTTTGGTCCTGTCTTTAATTACTTCTTTACATTCTAGCAACACCGAATTACTTGTATATCTGATACCAGTTTATGAAATTTCACATTTGCACTCCTTTTCAGATGTCTGTTGCTTCTACCTGGCATTCTTCTCCTTTCTTACTTATCTGCTAAGCTTCCTCTTACCCTGCAAAGCCCAGCACAGATGGTTCTTGCTTTCTGAAGCCCCCTTTCCCTCTTTAGGGACAAAATTGATCTACCACTCCTCTACAAAACCTCTTTATATATTTATGTCTTGATCATTATATTTCTTCACTTAATTGTAATCATTTGTTCACATTTTTTTTTCTTTTTCACTAGATTATCAGTTTCATAAAATTGATATCTTGTTCCCTTTTATATCTCCATCACTTGATACAGGGCCTGGAACTTAGTATGGTTTCAAGTAATAATTATTATTTAGGTTTAAATCAACACAAATTGAAATATTTAAACCTGAATAGTAATTATTCGGGTTTAATAAAATAGAAGAAACAATTTTAAATGCAGGGCTTGAGTTTTTGTTTTTGTGGTGTTGCTTTGCTGAATTTATATAAAATGTAAATAAAAGTGTAAGGCATACCAAAAAATGCAAAATAAAATATAAATATTCCATAGACTGTAATAAAAGACTGATGATCAAGAAAGGTGTGCAGAAGAGAACTTTAAATTCTGAAGTTATTTGAATGTTCATCATAGTTTAGCTGATGCTATCTCCAAGATAAAGTGAATATGGAGGAGGAATCAAAAGCCTGGGACAAAACAACAAATCTTCCAGGTACCGTGGGAAGAAGAAGTCGTGAGCTTTTATGCATTCCTTAGTTGTCAGGTGGAGGAAGATTATCTATTCCTGAAATTCAACCCTGTGTTTAAAAAAAAAAAAGCTATTTATATTGCTGATTTCACAATATTTCTCTTCTCCTGAGCTAAATTCTGTAAAACATTGTATGCCCATTTCCAGGCATAATGTATGATGTATATGTCTCAGACGTATAACTTAGTGACTTGTTACAGTGCAAGGTGAAATATTGAGTGAGGATTGAAATACTCCATATGTCTTGAAATTCCACAAATCCAGGCATGTGGGAGACATTGAGCATAGAAACTCAACATGACTAATCCTTAGAAAACACTGAAATCGATAGCTCTTCCCCGCTGCCTGGACGGACTACAGAGCGTATCCCCATGGGACTTCAGCAGCCATCTGGAATTTTTCAGGTTTAATATTAAGTCTTTGCTTTGGCAGAAAGGCAGCAAAAACCTGCTGCCCAACTCCTCCATCTGAGACATGGCGTCGTTCATTTTCATGAGTTTTTCTTTGTCCCTAAAGTTCTGTGGAAATGAATTTCAAACAACCAGAGGTACATTTTTGCTTAATTCCCAAGAGAAAACACCAGGAGTGAAAAAGTTTCCATGTGGCTGACTCTTTTTTATGTCCTGCACAGGTTAAGAAATTAGCTCATCTTATTTCAATATATGTTTTGTTTTTTTTTAGACTCGCCTTCCAGTCCGATTTCACCTTGATTCAACATGCTTTCTGTCTTTGCTTTTTCCTAATCCTTAAGCAGACTGTGGGCATCTCCATTGCCAGGTGCATTGGGTGGCATTGGGCTTTGAGGGTGACCACATTGTCTCCAGTCTGGAGCTTCAGGCTCATTCCCCAGGCTCTTCAATCACAGCTGATTATAGGAGCTGACAAACTTGTCTTGAAGGGCATTTGAAGGTGACATGATGACTTTTTGTGTGCCTGAGTCTGAGCACCAGTGTAGTGTTGCTAAAATTAATTTAACAGATTTTAATCTTTAAAATAAGATTTGGTTCTAGTTTTTAAGGAGTTCACAACCTTGTGGGGAAGACCAGTATGTGAACAGTAACAAACAGGGGAGCTTTCCAAGGAGAGAATAGCTATGATCCACCTGGCAGGGGTTGTGGGGGGAGAAAGAGGAGGGTGAGAGAGGCAGTGATAGCTTAGGTTGACAGTAGGTTCCCTCTTGTTCTAGATACTGATTTTTCTCCCCACAAAATCTTGGGACGTCTGTTGTTTTCACAGGCAAAAGTTTACTTGAAGAGACCTGTAGGTCAAAATGATTACACACTTTCCCACTGATGACACTAATGTGTCATCAGTGGAAAATGTGTCTTTATACCATACAGTTCACTCACAGAATGGACAAAAATAATACTGCTCTGTGGATAAAGTAAAGCAGTATCAAGCATCCCAAAGTAGCTAAAATTTTCCTTCAATCAATATGCATCCACTAAATCATTCTTTTCCCAACCTTGTGATCACCTCTCATTATTAGTTATATTAATAGTTAGCTTTATTACCAAACTCTTGCATTGGCCTTTGGTCATCTTCCTGCTATGGGCTCTACAATGCTAATTGTTTTTCTCCCAACTAATTTCTAGTTTTTCCCTTCACAATTCAAACATCCCTGAATTCTGTATTACGTGTTTCTCTTTCTCCCCAGAAAAGAATGAGTTAGTCATCAAGTTTGTACTTTTCAAGCTTGATAGGAGTTCATATACATGGTTGTGTCTGTATTGCTCAAAGTAATTCAATTAGTAATCAGCTGTGGAAGGAAAAAGGAGTTTACTGTGAAAGAGACTGATATAATGTTTCATTGGTATTAGTTATAATTAGAGCTGAACCCAAATAACATGCAAAGTCTTCAATTAATAAAAGTTTTGTGGGACTCCAAAGGTTGCCTTCTTTCCTCATCCTGATTCTCACAGGTTTAGAGACATACAGCCAGAAATAGAAGGTCGATGTAATTCTCATTCAAACATTAAATTCCACAAAGAGTGGAAACAAAATCCAATAATAAGTATATTTGCCATTTCTTTTATTCCTGTTATCTTTGCTGTCCAAAGAGATTAATTTTTGTCCACAAGATACTCAACCTAGGGCATATTTACATCTCTGGCATTTTTTCTGGAGGCTTGGGCTTGGGTGTTTAGCCATCGCAGGATTTCATCTATTATCACATTTTATATGAGTTCCTTTTGTGTGTATGATAAATCCAGACTTAACTAAATATGTACAGTCCTGTGACACTATACAGTAGACATTCTAGTACCACTACCCCTCCACCAATCCAGGTAATCTTTGGGAGTTATTGTATTGGTTGGAGTAATTTAATGGAAGGTATTGATTGGAATTTATATATATATATATATATATATATATATATATATATATATATATATATACATACACACACACACACTATGCAACCAACACATTAATTATACCATCTACTCTATTGAATTTCTATTTAAATGAATTTGAGGGTATAATTTCTATAATTTCTTGATCATTGTTGTACTTATATTATCAGTATCATTTACAAAAGATTTATCATGCTTATTATCTCATTTTAGGTCACCAGTCTCTTCAGAAGATCACGGTAAGCATCTGTCTTACTTGTACTAATTCAGGTTTAAAAGTTGAGCTCTGCTCCTTACATTTCATTGTAAGAGGGAAAAAATGATTTAAGAAAAATGTCTCTAAGATGTTTACCTTGGTTTTTTTTTAAATTGTGAAATGTCAAATACTTTTAAAAACTTAATTCATCCTAGCCAAATTTAATATCTTTGAATATATCACAACCATTTTGGTTGACAAATATTAAAGCTTGATGTATTCTGCCTGATTTCTGTCCCGTTGCCAGAAACCTTTTGTGACTTTGGCCTAGCCATGTAACCTCTTTGAATTACAAATGTTTTAAAAATGGGAGTTAATAGTAGATATTCCTAAAAGTCTCTTCCAGTTTAGACATTGGGGTTTGCATAGGGTATTATAAGTCTGAAATGAACCTAATTTGTAAGTGGTATGAGTTGTTATCCAGCTGAGGTGAGATATTGGCATTTTAGGAAAGACTATGTAATTGAAAGGATAAAATGTATGGTTTTGTCATATCTAACTTTTGAAGTTGTTCACTTTTTCATTTAAAAATATTAAGTGTCTACGGTGAGTCAGCTATGCCAAATAATCATGTTATACAAACATGCTATTGTGGTGTGTGGCACAGAACTTTTCCTCTAAGGAATTTTATGGATCTAGTGAGAAAGGGGGTAGTGGAATGACCCTTAGCTACTACATTACAAAGTGAAATGTGATTAATCTTATACAAGACGGGTAGACATGACTCTAGAAATACTACTGGCTTTCTCCTCATGCAATCCCTGCTAAGGCACCATTCTCCATTGAGCCAGCCAAGTAAATGCCACGGGAGCTGCTCTCAGCTTCCCTCTTCCCCTGTTTCCACCTGGTCACTCTTGCTTTTTGTATTTCTCTTTTCTCTATTCTCTTTTCCATCCCCATTGCCTTAGTTTAGGGCCTCTCCATGTCTTTCTTGGATTTCTTACCTGGTCTTTCTACCTCCAAATTTCTACTTCTAGTTTACTGCATGTTTAGATAGCATCAAACGGGGTGTTCTATAGTAAAAATCGATTCCCATTCCCTGTAGGATGAAATATTTTCAGTAGACCAATAATTGTATTCAGATTTCCAATGTTGCATTTTAACACAGACTAGGAAGTTCTAAACAATGGAACCTTTGTCTTCCTCTACTGCTTATAGCTTCTATTGGCGTCTCCCCTTCTGTCCATGCAGAACCACGTCTGGTTTTTGGAGTCTCCCTGCTTTTACCCACGCTGCTCTTTCTGACAGGAAACTGCTTCTCCTTTTTCCACATATACAGTACACTTACCATTTGAGACTTTGTTAGAACATCTCTTCTCTGAGAGCTTCCTGACCCACTTCTCATTGCATCAAATATTTTCCTTCAGTCTAGAATTTAACACATAAATGTGATGCTTGATTTGCCTATCTCCCCTGTGAGATTGATATCAACCCCAATATGTAGAAAACATTAAAAACTTGTTTATTAAATGAATGTGTTAGGAAGAGAACGAGGAAGTTTTGCGCAGGCCTCTTCTGTTCTCATATAAAATCTCTCCCAATATTGTAATGGAGTCCTTTCATATCCTATGAAGAATCAGGGGGCAAATTACATTTAGGCCCATTAAGCCAGAACCAGGTGGTCGACCACTTACTGATGACCTCTTATTGTCTGCTATTTTGCTTATTGATGTTGGCATGACTAGATTTTTTATTGCAAAGTTAGAGATCCTTGGACTTCAGGTTCAAATGATAAACTAGAAGTTTGTGTTTGGTTTGTATTTTCAATTAAGATTTCACCTATTGACCTTTATTTGCTTTTGTCTTCCAATCAATAAGAACTTATTCCCCATTCCAGAGAAAGGGGGTGGAAGGGCTTCTGAATTACAATTCTATAGTCTGCTAGGGATTGTTAAGGTTATGAGCTGTCAGTGAGCATATGTTGGTGTCCTTGGAAGTCCAGTATTAATAGCACTACTTCAGAATTGATTATTTTAAGAACTGGTATAGATGATGAGGTAAAGAAACATTATCCAAATTAGAGGACATTTATATTTTCCTGGCTTTAAAAATGTTATTACATGTTCATGTCTCTTAGTTTGATTTTGCAACTGTCCAAAATTACTCAAATATGTAATGTAAAATTATAATGCTGATGTATCTACTTTTATTTAATTTTCATCATCTTTAGCCCATGTATTCTTAGAAAATATTCTTATTCCTTTCTTTGTCACCAAGATTCTTTATTAGCACTTAAGATATGTTGTCTTCTGTTCATTTATTTTTATGTTCATATATTTTGTGATTAGCACAAAATACCATTTCATCAAGTTTATATTTTCCCAGAATAATGCAAGAGAGAGACATAAGAAGTGGTACTTTTGCTTTTCAAACTTATGGGTGGAAAAATTGGGGGACACTGGGCAAATGATTATGAAATTGGAAGATAAAGTCTTATATGCTTCTTGACTATTTTATTTGCTTTTCACCAATGATCACAATTCTCTCTCTAAGCACTGGTCACTTCAGCTATCTTCAAAACAGGCTTCATTTCTGAGAAAATATAATTTTCTAAAGTTCAAAAATCCTGACATCTGAACTCACACATATTACCTTTTCATAGGAAATTGAATATTGTGGCTTTGGCATTTATCCTCCTTGTTTGAAAAACAGGGCTATTCACATCTACTCTGCCCACATCATGGTATTGCTGTGTGTTCAAATGGGAAATCACCTGTGAAATCACTTTCTAATTTGCTAAAAAGCACCTCAGACATAATGCTACTGCTGGCCCAGCAGTGCACAAGGAAGTTTGTTTACTAGCAATGTTTGCTTGGCACTGATGCTGCCTAGGAAAACTTAAAAGATATGCTGGTTGGGGAGGGATGGGGTGGAAGTGGAGAAAAACTGTTTCCCTTGACATTATTATTAAATATTAAATTTTCACAGGAAGACTTTTTTCATCTTGGTGAGGAGAAGTAGCATGGTTAATGGAACTTGCATAAACTAGAATAAAGGGTGGAGAATCCAAGATGGCTGCACGGGTAAACACCTAACCGCAGCCGCACACAATTTCAATAAAATACAACTAAAATATAAAATGAACATTACCCAGAACTACAGGAAAGTCGAGTGACTGGAAATTCTACAACGAGAAGCAAGGAGAAAACCAGAAGGAAGAGTGGAAGAGCTGTAAAAGCCCAAGGTACGGAGACACGCGGTGCACGCGGAGAGGACGGAGCCGGAGAGGAGGGGTGGCTGAGTGCCTGGTTGGCGTTCCCTAGAGGGAAGTAGATAAAAGCTCCGACTGTGCTGGGCCCCAGTTCCGACTGCTCTGAACCCCAGTTCTAGGCCAGTCCCCGGGGACCCAGGCTCATCCATAGGGAGCTGGGCTGTAAGGCGGAACCCCAGGGGAGTGGCAAAAGGAGGTTCCGGAGGCGCACACATTGCGCGCAGAGAAGGGACGGTTGGCTGTGCTGCGGGATTGCCCTGGCGGAAAGGAGACCAAAGCTCCGGACTGCTCTGAATGCCACCTCCAACTCCACTTCAACTGAACTGAATCCCAATACCGATCTCATTGGGGGAGAGCATAGACTGTTTGGTAGCAGATGAAAATCAAGGGCACCTTGCTCTCAGAGGTGCTTGCAACGAGTACTGAAGGACCCTGGGGATTACTGAGACTCAGGAACTGCATAGGGCGGGGCTGATGGAAGCCAAAGCTGTAGGCTCCGCCCTGAAACTCCACATCAGGGAAGCTGTGAAAATGTTGAGACAACAAAATAGATCACAAACGAAAGAAATGGAGGACAAAAAGCGACTGGATATAGAGTTCAAATCTACGCTTATAAGGTTTTTCAAGAATTTCCTAGAAAAGGTTGATAAGACCTATGAGGATATGAAAAGGGATCAACTAGAATTAATAAAGTATCAACAAGAAATTATAAGGAATCAACAAGAAATAAAGAATACATTGTCTGAAATAAAAAATATTATACAGAGTCCTAAAAACAGAATGGAAGATCGCAAGAATCAAGTCAAAGATTTGGAACATAAAGAGCCAGAAGACACTCCTCGGCAGAAGCAAGAAGGCTAGAGAATCCAGAAAATTGAAGATAATATAAGAAACCTCTGGGACAACTTCAAGCGAACCAACATCAGAATTATGGGGGGTCCCAGAAGACGAGAGAGAGCAAGATATCGAAAACATACTGAAAGAAATAGTGACAGAAAACGTCCCCCACCTGGTGAAAGAATTAGACTTACAAGTCCAGGAAGTGCACAGAACTCCAAACAAAAGGAATCCAAAGAGGACCACACCAAGACAAATCATAATTAAAATTTCAAGAGCAAAAGACAAAGAGAGAATATTAAAAGCAGCAAGAGCAAAGCAGGTAGTTACCTATAAAGGAGCACCTATACGATTGTCAGCTGATTTCTCAACAGAAACCATGCAGGCCAGACGGGAATGGCAAGAAATATTCAAGGTGATGAATAGTAAGAACCTACAGCCAAAAATAATCTACTCAGCAAAGCTATCACTCAGAATCGAAGGCCAGATAAAGAGCTTCACTAATTAAAAAAAGCTAAAGGAATTCATCACCACCAAACCAGAATTATCTGAATTGCTGAAGGGGATTCTTTTGAAAGAGAAAGTAAATAAAGATAAAAATTATGAACAACAAATACGTAACTATCAACAAGTGAATTTAAAAACCAAGGAAATTTAAAAAAAAAATCTGATGAACAATATTAATTGTTGAATATAATAGAATCAGAGGTATGGAAGGGGAGTGAACTGATGATTCTTGGGGAAAAGGGGCGAGGGGGATGTGGGAAGAGACTAAACATAAACTGTGCACCTATGGATGAGGACAATGGGGGAGAAAGGGCAGAGGGTGGGTGGGAACCTGGTGGAGGAGAGCAATGGGGGAGGGGGGGAAGGAACATTTGTAATAATATGAACAATAAAAATTTATTTTAAAAATAAATAAAAATAAAAAAATA